TGGAGAAGAAAGTGAATATTGACAGGACACACGCTAAGCAGGTCATCAAATGACACTGCGCGTCAGACCATCGAGTAGAAACCGATTCGGAAACAACCTGTGTCTGTAGGTAATATGAAGGAGATGGTGTGAGGGGGAGACGAAAGGTTGTGTAATTGTGGGGTCAGCTAAGGAGGATTACGTAGAATAGCGAAAAATAGAGATGTGCAGCTGAAGCCCTGTATTTCTCTTGAAACTCAAGGGAATGAGAATAACACTAAATGAATACGAATTAGTGAATAATGTCCGGAGCAAACATAATAATAGTAAGGATAAATTCATGCAGTTGTTCATAATGTCTAGGTAATCAGTCGTTGTGAATGTATCACCTTGTAGATGTTGAGTGGAGAATAACTATGGTCATATACTGACTAGATAATAAATTGCATGGCTTCATAAATGACTATGAAACTGTGATTAGAATTTATTACCTTAACACTGGGAATGATATTTACTCCAATTTAGGTGCAATAATATATGTGGAGAAGGGACTGGACAAACATTTACTGACACAGATGAGGTTGGAAATACTTTATAGCGACTAACTTAGGCATGCTCAGCAATGAAAGGTGCATAAACCTAGAGAATTGAGCTGACACCTTATGTACAGAAGTGTAAAGGCCGAATATTCATCAATCTTGAGGTCAGTATCCATTCTGTGAGGCAATATATAACTCCTGACTGATTATAATATTTCTTTTCCTAACTTTTACATCTGTTAACCTGAAAGGAGATATTCAAAACCGACGAATATTTTTCAACGATATACAGTTTTGTATGCTGAATAATCGTGAAGTTTTGCTGAAGAGCGTATAATCTCCAAATATCTTTTCTCATGAAAAGACCACATTGAAGTCGTGGAAACTAACACAGTCACTTACTGTGTCTTAACATCAGCAGTAAGAATTCATTAAATTGCACGAAATCAAGTTGAAGGGAAACGGGTCTTTCTTCGAACACATCACTATTCAAATATTGTCATGATATTCAGTGACCTCATGTTTCGGCGGTATACAAAACTGAAATACTCTGAGAACCTTTTATCCATTGCACTTGTAAAACTGAATGTTAGTTACTTCAAACGCATAGAAGAAGCTTGAAAACATGCGTCACTAATTAGGAAAACACCAGTTGAGTGGTTGCATGTATTTTCTAGAGTCTAATGTTAGAGTAAATGTTCTCACTCCCACTTGCATGTACATACTGTGGATTTAGTCACATTTCTTGTCGGAGAACCTTTTAATTTCCCTAGAATAACTTCAACTCCAAATATCGGAGTGGCATCCGTATGCATAATGATGACAGATGGTTATTTTGCTCAGTCACTTGTCTCTATTCACATAATGATATCGCAAACATAGATATTGAAGAAATTACCTTTCATACGCATTTATCATGGTCATAAAATGCTTAATCAGTTTACACTTGTTACTGAACAAATAAGCATATAATAATTATATACAAGCAAACTGAGTCATGTACGTCGGTGGTATAGAGGTTAGGGCGCTCACCGACCATGCACATGGTTCAGGGTTCAATCCCCGGCCACCGACGCACTCCTTTACCTCTCTGAGCTAGAAATAACACTGGTAAAGAAGTACGGTTGGACATGGGGCTAGCAACCCCATCCTGTTAAATAAACACTGCTACAGAAACTTCAGGCTTGAGGCCCCATGTTCACTGGGAAACGTGAAGGAAAAAAACGTGTGTCATAATGTCAAGACAAAACGAGTATTTCAGAGACTCAGTTTTCTTTACCTACGAAGTTGCTGCCTCTAAGCTGAATTGTTTGCTTTATATATACTTGCCACGATGACAATTATTCATGGATGGGTAAGAGACAGTAACCCATCAGCAATCAAGGAACTCAGTGAATTGTAGCAGTATTCTGCATAACGTGCTGTAGTGAACGTGAACCTCACCTTTTTCAATCTTTGCATGAGTAATTATGAGTTTTCGAAATGGTCATGTAAGACATTATGACAATTTGAATCATGTTTATTCCAATCCGGAGTAACTTATAACATTATTTATTGATCTATACTGACTCTGGTCACTTTTGTATTCCAGTACTCCAGTGGAACACTTCTCACATTATCTTCTACTTTACACCATTTGATCCCTCGTGAACTCCGGAGACCCACAGAAAATATCAACAAAACTACCATACTGCCACCTCAAATCTATCAAACCTCAGAGAGAATTCACAGACGGCCGCAAAAATTTATGTTTATTTGCTCCTTCATATTTTTGTCTGATTTGTAGTTTGAATGCCTTGTTCATGTGTTCAAAAATCTGCGATATCATTTTCAGTGTTAAAAAGCTTCGCACTTACGTACAATCTGAAAATGTAATCGGACAAAGTGAGGATCTAGCCTCACTCTACGAGGTGAAGTTACAGCGAATTTAATCAACCATTGCTAATTGCTGGCATCATAACTGTATCCCAGTAGCAAAGACCTTAACTACTTAACTGAACCAATATGAAGAATAATTGTTACACCTGTGGAATAGGAAATACCAACCAGTTACTCTTTTTGACAATTATTCTGGTGTAGAGAAGAGGAAAGCCAATCATTCTATCAACCATGAACGCATTGGACCCAACCACCAGGCATAATAAAGATAAGGTACACAAAGCTGGTATCCGACCCCATCTGTTTTCGAGTAAGTGTGGATCCCCTACTATTCATTCGCAAAATGATTGGCTACTTGTCTAGAAAACTTAAGGAAACCAATTTGCATCTACTGCTCCGGGATGCGTTTCAATTTGTTGAACACATACAGGATGTGAATGTCTCTCAACATCGACTCACTCTTGAGCATTGTTCCACTCAGGGAAGCCGTCTGTTTCATATGCAAGTATATATACATATATATATATATATACTGCTACTATGCCCTGTCAACGTATAGGTCATATTCATTAACATGGTTAACAGGCAAAGGAATGGGATGGCAATGGAGTCCACATTAGATCAATTGTCACCAGACTGTTACTTAGTAAGCCTTTATACAAAGTGCGTAGACGACACTTTCGTAATCTGTGATCAGAATTATGACATTAATCATTTTTACACACATTGAATATCTACCATCCAGCGACACAATTCACCCTGAATTGGCACACTATGGAGTCCAGAATGGTGGTTTTATACACCTCTTGTTAAAAGCTAAAAGACGGACACATTTGGTTTATCTTTAATTAGAAATCTTATTTTAATTGTTACCCTTTATGAAAGTTTGAAATACACATGCCTTCCTTCATATCCAGCCTTCTCCCTCTTCGTAACCGTCTCCTCATCATACTAATTCGTTAACTGCATACTTTGCAAATTATAAGAATCTCCTAAAATCTTTCAGAGAATATTCAACTACTTGTGGAGAAAACGCCGTTGAAGCATACCTCCAAATTGCATCTCTGGGTTATATGATTAGATTTGTAGAGGTGGACTTAATCCTATTCGCAAGTATAAATATATTCTCTTATATCTTATGATACTACATAATCTATCAATATTTCTTATATAGCATAGAGTAGTTTGGACTTTTATTTTGATATTACATATAATCCTTGAGTTGACTGTGTAGTCGACACAAAGTGGATAGAAAATCCCCTTTCTTGATTTTAAACTAACTAACTAAATTAGCCTTTGAAACAAAACGGAATAATCAACTGACATGTTTTCACATCTGGATGACGATTAAACAAAAATAGAGTTGATTATACCCTAAGTGACTCATGGCCGACATTTTAAGGGCCCTGATGGATTGGGAGAAGAATAAGACTTCTGAGAGAAATTTTCATCAAAATGGACATCCACGAAGATTTGTCGACAGAAATAGCAAACCACAAACTCAGAGACATGAAATTTCGTTGATGTCAAAAAAGGAATGCTTTACACAGAACTTCATTTCAGTGGTGATTTAACTCATGATGTCCTGATGGATAACATTCTTTGCAGCAACGCTTAGAGGAGTGCTCATCAGTCGCTTGTTAGTCTGTAGAAGCATGAAGGACAAGATCTCACATCGGACCACTTCTGTGTGGAAATATTCCTCTATCCTTTCTTATGGGCTAAGTATATCTGTTGTTTTACTCACCTCTATCTAAAAGTGTTCAAGAACACCTTTCAACATGGCTGGTGAGAGGTGGCAGCATCTCCGCATTGAGTGCAATAATTGAACACCTTGTAGACACTGCTCATTCTTTTTAAGCTAATTACTCCTTCAAGACAATATACAAAGTGAAGAACAACCTGCCAAAGACAATACCGTTTTACCTGCTTCACTCTGCTTAAGCCCTTGCCATCTACGTAATGAAACCACGGGTCTGAATACACAAGAGAATTCCTCAATCACTTTACTTTCGAACTCTTGAGTAGTAACACATTTTCTTTGTTTAATATGCATCGGGATTGCAACTCATTCTTTAGACTGTTCACTTGTTATTTAATCCATTCACTCTTAGCCATCCTATTTACCGATTAATGTTAGTAACTCCACTGATGACAGTCCGCTACTTTCTTTACTATCCTCCTTTTGAAGATTTTCTGGTAAGAGAAAATGGAGCTGCCGAAAACACCCTCTTCGCTAAGCTAATTATTTTGTTTTAAGTCTAAAGTTTGGATGGGGAACACTCATTGGTTAAATGCGGTTTCGTCAGTTAGTGATTCGGAATTATGTAGTTTCGAAAATGATGACGGAAGGATTGTTTGCAGTCAACTAATAAACAACCTACTGATCAGGGGAATTATGAAAGCAAGTAATAATTTTATATAAAGTAACGAAGGATATTTTTTAAAGTTTTATTCACATCATGTATTCAAAAAAAGCGAATTTCAATCTGCCTTTTACACAAATAAACTTTCATTCCATTATAATATAATTACTTCAGACAAATGTATTATGCATTAAGCGTCTTTTTGAGTACATTATTATTCACAATTAGTGTAGTATAATTACTCCTCGCCGGCTTCACCGCTGTCTCCTGCCTTTTCGTATGGTTTTCCATCATCGGCTCTGAAAGTATGGGAAAAACATTTTGAGTAATAATCAAATTTATGGAATCTATTCCCCTAAAATTTTAAATCTGATGCAGAAATTATTAATGATGCATATTTCGCAAAATCATTTGATACGATCCCCTCGAACTAATTTTCATGTTTATAGATCCTTGTAAACAACATTTATCAAATGTCCAAAAGATTTCGTAAGATTCATTTTGAACATTTTCATGTTACTTGCCGTCAGAAGGCGGATTTTAAGTGATGATGACTCCAGAGGAATACATGTGAACTTAATTGATTATAATTCGTCTCGTGTGTTCCGACTGGAAAATTAAGATGTATTATGACATGTCATTCTACTTGGTTATCTGCTAATACTTTCAAATGGCTCCACGATTTCCAACAAGACTCCAATTCCCCTTCAGTTGGTCTTCCTCATGTTATTGTGGGAGCCAAATGGTCATCTGCCATCTGGGTTCCACTCAAGAGCTATGTATATCAGATTACTTTAATCCACCTCCATTTTCTTCTGAATATTTGTTGAAAAATAGTTCGGTGCTTCTTATCCTTTCGAAAAATGATTTCCAAAGTTACTAGATAACTTTTATGCACTCCTAATTAACACTTGGTGTTATCGTGGTGCCATAGTACATTTTACTGTTTCACTTCGACGCAGTTGAATAAGAAACATATGTTTACAGTTACAGATCTAGTGTTTTAGGAAATACATTTGAAAGTAAGGAAATATTTGTCTACAAGACCATTTTTGCTTTAAATATTCATTGAGTCGAAAAATGCCACAACTTACCCTGGACCATAGTTGCACACAACCATTTGCTTCTCACCGCATAACTTTGTACCACATCCGATTTCTTTTGTCGTAGCCCAAACCATCTACATTTATGAATTAGAAAAAAAGGGTATAAATTCATAAATTATTGTAGTTAGTATACATGAGGAAATCATATAGCTTAAGATCGTCTGTGCACTTCATTTATCCTTCTTACTTGGTAAAATAACACATTTTCCTAGACAGTACAAACACTATCAGCTGTTGGAATAATAATAAACATCAACTGAGACTGTAATCACATTAGGTTATACACTACTCATTAAGTCATATGAGTAGTTAAAGACGTTTGCGTCAAGCAGTAGTGATCTAAAGATTGAACAGCAAGACTTTATGTGTCTTGAATTGATTCTGCTCTCCCAGTTGAGCTTGACTAAAAACGAGACAAACGCCCACCTGATGTTCAAATAACTTTTATCTGGCTAGTTAACACTACTAATTGGTGTGAGTGATTTCCAGCCTTTCATGTCAATTAGTGATGAAAGACCATTATGCAATCATACTTCCTTTCTTGAATCCCATTTGTGGCGTCAAACAGACCGTATCTGGATAATTTCGCTTCCCAAGAAATAATTTCAACTGAAACTTGTATTACCTACCTGTTTATAATTGCCGCATTCTTTAGGGCATTCATTTGTGTCAAATTTGTAGTCTTTGTGCTCTTCATACCAAGTTTCTAATAATCTGAAATATAAATACACATAAATACGTATACATATATATACATTCGTTAGGGGAAAAAGTGATTAAAATAACGAATATTGAAACCAAATTACAATGATATATGCTTACTTTTGAATTGAAATGTGTTCTGCAACACCTTGACCAACTGATTCATATCTCTTCACATATAAATCTTCCATTTTTCCACTTTCAAGGACACATTTATCAACGTGTTTTTGAGCTATTTCTGCTAACTTCTCATTCCATGTCTGTAAAAAACAGAGTTAAACAGAAATATAAAAAAAGCATATAAATACATATATATATATATATGTATATACCTACAAATAAATAGAATGTAATCAGTGTCTACCTATGCATGAAATCCATCCCAGGAGAAAAAACAATTGGAGTAATGTTTAACAATTATGTCCACTTTCATTACTCAGATGGAATACTAATTAAGAAGTTAAATTTAGACAAGAACTAATCACAATGAAAACACCTTCATATTCAATGAACATTGAATGTACTGTTGTTTTGAAATAAAGACGACCTAGTCGAAACAACCTAGTATTAATGGTTTTGTTTCAGTACAAAGGGAAGCCAGTTCAAATCTTTAGGAGGCACTAACAATTTATTGACAATTAAGAATTCCATTTTCTGTCAAGTTCCAAATTAATTCTGCATGCCAACTGCCATCATTAGAAAAAAAGAAAATATATATTCTAAACAACTATAAAAATCCTTAAATGATGGGTGTTACATAGAAATAGATATAAGTAGTATAATAGGCAATGTCTTCAGGGAAGCGATGATAATCTGTTTAACAGTGGGAAATTCGGTGAAGAAGAAATGCTAACGGCTGGTGACAGACAACACTGAAGTCAATGCAATAAGAAACAGACAAAGAAGATAATTTAAGTATTATTTTTTCTTCTTTATGTCTAAAATGTCAAGTTGCTGAATTTTCAGTAGTGGTGGTGTTGATTTAACTGCGTACGGTTGATATTCTCATTTCTGAGAGTCTCTCTTCTCTTGGTTTACTATCGGTTGATATACTCAGTGAGATGAAGTAGTGGGCTAGTCGGGTCTTCAAGGTGACTGGTGGGCACTGAAATACCAAGACATGAAATATTGCTGCTATTATTATTATTATTAACAAATTGTGTTACCAGTATTAGATGGTTGAAGGCGATCGGCAGGAAACCTTGAACCTAGGTTTCGAGCTAGTCGTTACTCGTCAGCAAGGCGTATCTGAGACCTGTAGGGAACCAATATAAGGTTCATGATTTTCCCAATGTATTAGATTTTAAAGGACAATCCATCACTTGAGTTATATTCACTAAACGAATGACTATTTATTTCAGACTTGAAAATATGAATTAACATATTTGTGTACAAAAATGTTTCACATTCAATTAAGATCAATCGTCAAATATTTGGGGATGTATTGTAATTTTCTTTCTCCTTTTATGATGAAACTATATTTTCCCTATTCTTTTCTTCTATCAATATCCTAATGGAAGGCTGTAAAACTAATGCATCATTAGACGGCTTGTAAAAGCTTCTTTGTAGTGGGTTTGGACAAGGAGTTTGAATTTATATTTGAAGTAGTAGACGTGATATAGCAAGGTTCAGATCAAAAGTGAAGCAATAAGATAGCCGTCATGAAAACCTATTAGGTGTAGTAAAAGATAGGAATTCCGCCGCCAGTAAAACATGTAAAATATCCAAATATTACATTTAAACACAGTCAGCTGTCGAATAGACAAAATAAGCCCACACCACTCCGCGCTTCGCTGAAGTTTTTTTCCTCCACTTTCCCGATGAAGCATAGGGCTTCAAGCTGGTGGCTTGAAGTTTCTGTAGCAGTGTTTGTTTTTTTACAGGATGGGGTTGCTAGCCTCATGCCCAACCTTTCCTCTTTACCAGCATTATTTCTTGCTTAGCGAGGTAAAGGAGTGCCTCGTCGTCCGGGGATCGAACGCCGGACCATGTGCATGATTGAGATAGCGTCCTAGCCATTGTGCCACCGACGCACACTTCGCTGAACTTATCATCGTTAAACAGTTAAAATTCGATCCACACAGACAGGAGATAGTAGTTATCTTAGTAAATATATTCAGAAATGAGGTTTATGATGTCATTTTCTCTCCTATATCTTCTTTTGTGTTTCAAATGTTACTTATCTAACTCTTCCCATTATCTTAAACTATTCTTCGCAGTCGTATAACCTCTGTGGTGAGAGCTGGCTGCCAGCCAAAATTGTAGAAAAAAATTTACGTCAATGTTTACCTCCCGAATCAGGGTCATGAGAAAAAACAATAACAAAGTTGAACCTTGAGGAACTCACCAACCCGTCACACCAGACTTATCGTGTGCAAGTACGGTTCGAAGATATATGGCCTAACTCACAAGCAGTACAGAATAACCTTCAGCAAGAAAACAACCAATCAGTAGACGTTGCTTCTCTTCTAATAATTACGCGAATAATAATGTACATAAAAATCAAAAAATATCTCTTGCCTGGTCCTGGTCTTCTGTCGTTACACCACTAGTTAAATTTTGGTTCTCACTCACATTTTCAATATCTGCCTCATAAATAGCTGCTCCTTTTAACACTTAATAATTTAGCTATTTATGTGGTTCTGTATTTATTATGTTGCTGCTAGTCCATTTTAAAAACTTGTTGTCAACGTGATAAAAGTACTCTAAAACCCACTTTTTATAATGTGTACACTATGATGTTGTTTAGGTTATATACGGTTGAGAAGAATCCTTGAAATAATTAAAATGAGCTTATATTATCCTGCTACGTTATTTAGTTCTTGCTTTGTTCAATTATTATAAATCTACTGAAAATGTTATATGACCAAACAAATGCTTAGCAAACCGAACATCTTGAAGTTTTCATAATGGCCACCAAGGGAAAAGAGAATTTCTGTACACAACAAACTTCTCAATATGTCCACATTTCCCGGCCAGATTGCATAAACACAAGGATTTACCTAGCTGACTACCTCAGACTGAACAGAAACTAGGAGGTACAATGACATCAAAGAAAAAAAAACATCCGGTATACGCCTCAAGCAAATACAAAATAGAAAAAAATACACCTGAATAAAAATTAAGCTTACAAGAGGAGGCATCACTTTAGCTTTAGGTTGATTAGGTATTTTACCAGCAAGAGCAGCTTTACGAACCGTATTGTGAAATTCTAGAATCGTCTTTGTTTCTTCAGTTTCCTGTGCATTCCCGTGAAGTACAACTAGTTGAAGTATTAAACAAGATGTGAAAATAACTTTATGCATGTCTATGCTTTGCTGACTATACCCATGAACAACAGAGTTTATATACTAAGTCATACGGCTGAGAAATCTATTTGACAATATCTTTCCACTTCATCTCAATGTCATGTCAACAGGTGTGGAAATATAAATTCATCGACTAATGACACTCAAAGTAAAGAAAAACAACATTCAGGATGACATGTACTGACAGATATCCCAATTAATAAACAGGCGTTGGCTAACTTACTTTTAAATCAAATACTTTCCTACTTGAGGAGATCTATCCATGTACACAACGTAGAATAGTGAGTGAGTAGATTCCTTGTGTACTTGGTAAAAGGTATGGATTTACGTTTATGGCTTGGTTAACACCTATATCATTTGAGGGATTTTGGACTGCAAAATTTTGTTAGCCTAGGCATAACGCAAATTATTGTCGTTTGTTTAACGAAAAAAGTAATTATCTCTAAATGACTAACCTAGTTCCAGTGACACATTTACTTGATAAATCACCTTTTATAATGAACCATAATTAACTGTTTAAAATCCGCTCAATCTTCCTAGGGCCTTTACGTTTGAGGTTAGAATAGACAGTGAATTCAAATAGTCTAAACTTAATTTCACTTTGAAAGGAAATTAAGAAACACTAGTATATAGAATATCAACGCACACAGAGATCAAATACTCAACTATACTAGCAATAACCCAATTACTCACAAAAGACACTGTGTGCAGACATTGTTTAAAAGAATTCAAACACACACTGTAGCACTCCAGCGTTGAAAAGAATGGAAGAAAAATATCTACAAACGGTCTTCAAAAAGAATGGATATCACCCTCACAATTTCGTTAAAAAGTGTTTTAAATCAAATCACAACATCACCAAGGAGCCATCATCAAAGAACAAAAGAAAATTCATCCTACTATACATAAGAAATATCTCTGAAATAACAGCTAGAATACTGAAACCGTTTGATATAGATATAGTACACAAGCTAGTCAAATCACTTAATTCGATATTATGCAAACCGTGAGATCCAACAGAAAAAGGGGATAAAATTTATAACATTTACAAAATAAACTGTATGGACTTTAACAGGCATTACATCGACCAAACAGGGGCGTCCCCTTTGAATCAGAATCCAGGAACTTAAAGCAGCCGTGCAAAGACACGACATATATTCTTTCATATAAATGCATATAGATAATTATGGGCACCAGTTTGATGATTGGGATAATGTCGAAATTTTAGGCAGGAGAAACACCAAAAGTGCAGTCAGGGAATTCCTAGAAGCCGGTACTCAAACTAATATGCAGTTAACAAACACGATAATACAGACAAAATATACCAACTAATAAAAAGTAAATCATGTGACCAGAAGCTTTAAAATCCAAGTCAATAGAAAATGATCAATACATATGTAAACATTGTTACCGGAAGATGCAATTATATCACTCACGAAGAAATTTAAATCATTTCACTTTATGCTAAATATTGCGCTGAAGATGTTGTCCAGAAGGACGACAAAAGCTCGACAACTAAACCAACCAGCTCAGAGAACGCTATTATTTGCAGAGGTATTTCTGTCTACCTTTGCTAACAATAAAAGCCAATCGGAAGGGATGTGAAATACGGAACAGAACATCGAAGTGACGTTAAATGCTAGACTGACGAATGAAACCTATGTATAGGAAATCATGGTTTGGGTCTCTAAGGGTGGAAAATGACATGTGAACAAGAAATGAGAGCTAGTTGGCAGCTGCCATTCTGGTTGCAAGGTTAAAAAGTAGAACCGCATGGAATGGAGATGTTTCACTGAATCCCTACGTTCCACTTGGGATACAATGAGTATGGAAGAGAAGGCTATATATATGTACATATATATAAGTATTTTCAAAAATATGTCATTAGAATTTTAAATTTTGAATAAGAAATTACGTTTTGTGAAAGGTATCTACAGAATACATGGTGATCTCGCCAAAAGAATACGAATCAAACTGCAGAAGCAATGAGAATTCACACGTTAAATCCGGAATTCTGCCTACAAAAGAAGTTTGTTCAGCCATTATTAAATGTGTAATGAACTTGATCAATCTTAACGTCAAATATTTAATTTTTATTTCCTGATTGTATCATTTTTCCTCCTCTGGCTCCTATCAAATTTATACGCCTAATTACCATTGTTGTTGACCTGACTTTTTCAATTTCAGTTGAATTCTACTCAACTCCATCAATTATTTCACCTGTCTAACTTATTTTATTTTTCGGCTCATGATGAAATCCTGTAACCAATCTAATCCCTACAAACCAACACTTGAATATCAATGAGACACTCACTAGCGACTTGCCCTATTCAGGTAGATAGTTACCTGGGGTTCTAGTGAGAAGTCGTGACCAGCAGGGTACAGCAGGTGTGGTGTCAAGACAAAACTCGCCGAAAACAGTGGCTAACGGTTGCGCTATGTTGTGAATTGGCAGATGTTAGAATTCGTGGCCTGGCCATTGGATTAGGTCCCAGTGGCTTAATGGTATACGAGCTCGCCTTGTAATCAGAAGGTCCTGGTCTCAAACAGTGGTGGTGGGTGCGTACAACTGAAGAGTCCCAAACTGGGCTGACGAAAAAGCTGTCCAGTACTCCCTGGCGGGTTTTCCAATGGTTCTCTAACTAATGTCAGCTGATGATGAAATTCCGTAATCAATCAAATCCCCACAAACCCACACTTGAATATTATTTTATTTTAGTTTCTACACTATGTAATTTGCTATCCAAAGTGTATAATTCTAATGACATATCTTTGGAAATACTCCTTTGGTTGCAAAGAAAAATGACTATTTACAGCTTCAGGTTGATAACCTCGAAAAAATGGAGCAACTCTTCGTTGAACTTTTCTTTCTCATAAGAAAATGACTGTATATTCCTAAGACTTCCTCCTTGTTAGTAACACACTTTCATTTTTATTGAGGGATCAATCGTAACAGTCGTACACACCATCGTATTAATCGTACCAAACCTGAAGACTTATGCTATCATACTGTGGTCCTTCGAACGAGGCTTCACGTTCCTTGGTGTTGATGCAAGGCAATAGAATGGATGTCCTGAAGTTCTAATAAGAATTTTAGGTCGGTGGATACCATCATTTCTGATTCAATATGGGTACTCATCGGAAGTTGATCAACGGTAAAATCTTATCGCAAACTGACTGCAGTTGGAATTGGTCAATGGACTGATGATCACTGTGATCAATAACCTGACCTGATGATTGTGACGGTAAGGTACATAGCTGAGGCGTCGCACATTAGGACAAAATGGATGTGCATAGTGTATCTATTCTCATTTCATAAGTCTAAATAAATGAGTTTTGGTAAGTTTATCATATTTTTTAAATGATTTTCTCCCCACACCAAAATGTATGTTCAGTGTTTACCGAACTTTTTCACACATATGAAGGGCTATTTCTAAGATGATATTTTCAGAGATTTCAGTACCTAGGAACATTTTACACTAAAATATAAAATCAAATAATGCAATCCATTGATTTGTGTTGGCTGGGCATCTTCATTGTTTGCACTTGGGTGTAAAAATGAGTGGCATTCATTAAAAAAGGATTCCAGTCAGGTCATTTCAAAATGTTAATGTTCACTGATAAGCCGTCCTAAAATTAGTTGTCCGCATCAGATTTTTCGGTTGGGCTCATGTATCATCATCAAAGCATTTATCTGAATTCCACTTTGATGGCCGCTATTACCATTGTCTCCTCAATGATATCAGCTATCTACTCGGATAATCATAGTTTAAAACCATTAACCAATGCAGACAGCTTAACTGGTAAGCGTCCAAGTCTCACCTCTTGTCATTTACTTTTTTTTCATCTTAATGACCAATATCTTACTTTTAGTCAAAGTAGCACACATCAGTGACAGTATGTCAATCCAGGGTACTTTGGAAGAGTTCATCAGTAACTGGCAGCCTGATCATGGGAAGAGAACAAGAGAGCTTATAGGCTAAAGACGACTGCAGAAAACAGAATGAACTGGAGGTGTTCCTTTGCAGCCCAGTGTTCCGCTTGGAACCTAAAGGAATAATAATATAATATGTAAACTTTCAAAACTTAATATGAATAAAATAGGGATAATGAAACCTGAGTTTACATCTAGTGTGATAGACAAGTAATCACTTTTCAACCTATTTCTGACTAATATTTAACCTTCTATCACCATCATCAGTTACTTCAATACAAGTTCCTTCCAAAAAAATGAAATCCAAACATTTCTAAGCGATTCATTGTGTTGTTGGATCTTTATTATTCAAGGCGAATATACACATTAGTTCATCGGAAAAGTTAAAAAGACTGTCGCTTCTGAGCACTATTCACTGTTGCTGGGAAAAGGAGGACTTGTGTATGTAGAGCGGTAACAAAACATCTGGTGAACTCAGAACATTCAGCTCCACTTGAAAAGTCCTTTAAAATCCTATGCAAGATCTGATCAAACCGCTCAAAGGAAGTGAGATCAAGGCATCTGGACATTTATTTACTTTCTCCTTCACGTTCCCAGTGGAACATAGGGCGGCCTCAAGTTAGTGGCTTGAAGTTTCTGTAGCAGTGGTGTTTATTTTACTGGATGGGGTTGGTAGCCTCATACCCAACCTTTCCTCTTTACCAGCATTATTTCTTGCTTAGCGAGGTAAAGTAGTGCCTCGTCGGCCGGGGATCGAACCCTGGACGATGTGCAAGGTCGGCGAGCACCCTAACCGCTATGCCACCGACATTCATATGACAAGCTATGTATTCAGAAGAAATACGTTCAAATTTTGTCTTTATCATGATGATCATATACAATCAATCGTCTTATTAGTGATTATCCTATTTACTTTCTGATTCCGACTTCCACTTCATTTCTCTTATTTTACATTTTTAGTCCCTATCTGCACACAAAAAATCAGTTTTATCAATAATTATGATCCAAATTTCTTTTCATCCGATTTTTCCGTTTATTTTGTTGTTATTACATTTTAGCCCCG